TTGATTCAAGCAGGAATAGAAGGTCTGTCTAACAGTGGCGGCACATTAACATTAAATAGCACAGGAAAATGATCGGAGAATCAAGAGTCACATACTTCAGTAATAAGAACAGGCAGAAAAAACAAAAGAGATCGCACTAAGAGAGACCTGACGTCAAGCAAAATGAGATACTGGCTCACACTCAGGTGACAAGCTAAAACCACTGACTGTATACAAAAGATGGACAAACCTACCGTGAACTCACCCACTGGCCGTCATAATGTATAGACAGTGCTTCAGTCTGCCTGCTACAGCTAATCCAAAATTAGGCAAAGAGGTGGGGTGTAAGTGGAGCTGAGGTGTACTGAATGGGCAGCCTGAAGCCAGCCACCTATGGCATGACCCTCCTGCCTATCACTCAAAGCAGCCACAGCCTTAATTAATGCATAAATTTTACTCATTCATTCTTTACCGCTTAGTGCCTGAATGGGGGCAGAGCTTATCCCGGTTGGCAATCAGGCGAAGGCGGGGTACACCCTGGACAGGTTGTCAATCCATCGCAGGGCTAACACATAGATGAACAACCACGCACACCTATGGGCAATTTAGAGACACCAACCAACCTAAGCTGCATGTCTTTGGACTGTGGGAGGAAGCCGGAGTACCCGGAGAGAACCCACACAAGCACGGGGAGAACATGCAAACTCCACACAGAAAGGTCCCGGGTGGGGCGCGAATCCGGAACAACAGTGCAACAGTGCTAACCACTGCGCCACCGTGCTAAATTTTAGTCTCAATATAACTTAAATAGGCAAGTAAATTACAGTCTTATATCAAAACTTTATATTCAGAAATTCCTTGTTCCCAACATACTTTATTTTGACCCAATATTAGTAACAGATAGTTGTATCTTTGTTGTGCTAAGGTTTTTCATATTTTAATATAAAGTGTATATTTTTGTTATGAAAACAAATAAATTAACTAAACTGACTGCTGTGCTTTTGGTTTGTTTTCAGAGGAAGAGTAAAGTTCATTATCAGGTTGCTGTGATCATAAACTACCTGGGTCATTGTATCTCTCTGGGAGCTCTGCTGCTGGCCTTCACTCTCTTCATGAGACTCAGGTAATACACCTGTCTGTCCAACTGTCTGTTCGCCTGTCTCTTTGTCCTCTTTGTCTAGTACTTTTAGATTAGCTGTAGCAAACTGTGGATTCTCACTGTTCTCGTTATATTTTGTACACCATTACTTCAGTCTTCCCAAGACAAACCTCTGACTAATTTACACCAGAGGTGGGTGTGCTTTCTTCTGAAAAATTTGAAACATCACTGTCTATACCAGGACTTCTCAAAGTCCCGACTCAACAACAAGTCAGTCCAGATCCAGGCCACACCTCGTATTAGGAATGCATTAATAGAATGTAATGAAGTGTATGTTTCCTACTTTGAAGAAAATGTTTTATACTTATTAATAAATTGTTAGTTTTGTAGGATATAGTCTATTTGGCGATTTTTACAGCGACCCTGGCCCAAGAATAAGGTGAAATGTAATAGTTTCCCCGTTTGACCTCATTGTCATGCAACATTGACAGCCGGCAAGTGTATGATGTTTAACGTCAACAAGTGACAGAGCTCAAGGGTCAGCTAACAGCCACCCACGTTAGCTAATGGCTAACAGGCATTCACGTTTTGCCCTTCGGGCACAAGAAAGGGAGACTTCCGTGGCTTCTGTCAGTGGACATTATGTCGCCAATGTGGTGAGGATGTCACTACCCAAATGTACAAAGAAAGAAACAGTTGACCAAAAAACAATCAAAAACAGTTTTTGAAGATGAGTGGACAGAGAAATCTGCGTTCATTTTGCCCCAGTGCAGCGTTTGATTCACACAGAGATGAGGACAAACTTTGACAGTTCAAATTTTCCCATGAATCAAGTTGTTTGTGAGATCTGTGGCACAGCAAGAGGGAGCTGCTGCTGAAACTTCAGACAGGCAAACTGGCATTTTTTTCCACTATGCTTGAATGTATTGTGTCTCAGACTGCCTTAAACTTGAATGTACACTCACAGGCCACTTTATTAGGTACACCTGTACAATAGTATGCACTTCAATACAACACTTCCAACATCTGTGTTTATGAAGCCAGACCAAGGGTGTCCATTATCTACCAGTAGGCCAGTAGGTTTTAATGAGATGACCTCTAGTTGCCATAGTTATTATGGCCAGAGTAGCAACCACTATATTTGACATTGTACAAAGAGCGGCAAAGTAGGTAGGAGGTCAAGCTGGAGTTTGAGGTGGTTGGGGAGGAGGGGAGGAAGGATGGGGGTCAGGGAGGGGGATAGGAAAGCTGCCTCCATCCTCAAAGATCTCACCCACACCCAGCACGGACTGTTTGCCTCCCTATCCTCTGGCTGGAGGTTCAGAAGTGTGAAATGTAGGACCTCTAGACTGAAAAACTCTTTCTTTCCCTCTGCCATCAGACTCTAAACAGCTGAGGAGTTTATTACCAGGAAATACATCATGTACTGTTTACATTCTCAGTTTGCACATGGATAATTGCACATTGACTGTTGACTGCTGCACATGCTGCTCCCATGCAGCATACATTCTCTATTATATTCTTATATATTTTTATTATACTGCTGCATTTGCTGCTTAAAGTGCCTTAGATTTTGTGTTACTTATTCATCTACCTTATATTTCATTTGTATTTTGTGGCATTCATGTGGACGGCAAAGTAAGAATTTCATTGTACAGGGAAACATGTTTCCTAACTGTGCATATGACAAATAAACACTTTGACCTTGACCTTGGAGGAGAGGAGGATAAATCTTGACACCTTTGGCTTTGTGTGGTAGGTACTGGTATGTAATGTTTCTAGGAAACAGCCTCACACTGACTACATGAGGGCTCCCACCTGGCTTTAGGGTTCAGGTTAGGCCTGGGGGTTAGTGGATGCATTATGTCAGCAGGTCCTCACAGAGATAGTGTTATAAATGCCCGTGTGCATTAACAGGAGTATCCGGTGTCTGAGGAACATCATCCACTGGAATCTGATCTCAGCCTTCATCCTGAGGAACGCTACCTGGTTCATTGTCCAGCTAACCATGAACCCTGCTGTTACCGAGAGCAACCAGGTAACACACACACACACACACACACACACACACACTGACCCTGTCCCTGACAATGGTCACCATGGAGACGAGGTGATGAGCTGTACTGATAAAGTGGTAACAGCAGTGACCTACAGACCGAACGGCATTTGACTCTTTAACTCATGACATCACACTCCCCTTCCCCATCTTCAGGTGTGGTGCAGGTTGATGACTGCAGCCTATAATTATTTCCATGTGACAAACTTCTTCTGGATGTTTGGTGAAGGTTGTTATCTCCACACGGCCGTGGTTCTCACCTACTCCACTGATAAACTCAGGAAGTGGATGTTCATCTGCATTGGCTGGGGTCAGTACACCTGTCAGTCTACAGGCTAACCTGTCTGTCTGTAGCTCACCTGTCTGCTTCACCTGTCTATATGTTTCCAGGTATTCCTTTCCCCATCATTGTGGCCTGGACATTTGGGAAACTTTACTATGACAATGAGAAGTGAGTCTGTTGTTTCCCTTGAGAGTTTGAGCTGTGAGGAGGAGCAGAGAGGATGTGATTGGTGGCTATGTTTTTATTGACAGGTGCTGGTTTGGAAAGAGAGCAGGAGTTTACACGGACTACATCTACCAGGGTCCCATGATCCTGGTCCTGCTGGTAAGAATCATTCCATCTCAAATACAGTGGCTCTGAGCTGGTGCGCACAAAATCAGGAGCTAAATGTTGGTCAAGCAGATGTCGTCACCTCTGAATTCCAACAGTAACATCACTGATGACACGTCAGACTTATAATGTTTGGACAGGCATGTAAAAATGATGACATCCCACTATTTTCATCTTGATATCATCCTTCCTTCCCATTTTGTAAAACATGGGGGCAAAGCAAAACCGAAGCGACCACCTCAGTCCTACAGGTCCTCACACAGTTCAGGTTATGTTCTCATTGTGGAAAAGAGGCTTCAGTTTAAAGTCAGTAGGGCTGCCACTAGTGCTGTGGTTATTGAATGCAAATGCTGTTTTTGTTTTTTCCAAATTAAGTTTTGTAGTATAACCAACAAGAGACCCTTGATGTGTGAAGTGATTGTGGTGACTCTACACTGTAAGAATGAAGTTACTGAATATTTTTTTCAATAAATATTTCTCCAAATTATGCACTCACTGCACATAAGTCTTGGTAATGTGGTTAACAAATAGAACAGACAATGCACAGGCGCTGTCCCGACTTGTGCTCTTGACTAGTCTTGAAATACAATCCCAAGTCTGCTTTGTGTGAGACCAAGACAAGACCGAGTACAAATGTGGTTGATTCTGAGACAAAACCAAGAAACAAGCACAACAAACAGGACCAAGTGAGAATAGACTAATTCAAAAACAGAACAATCAAACAAAACAGGCAGCAATAGATAGCAGGCCATGCACATTTTTGCCATCTTCACTCTTTATGCTCAGTTTTCATCTCCTCCTGTCTCTGGTTTGTGTGTTGAGTTTACATATTCTGTCTCTGATGTCTTCACTTTATTCATATTTGTTGTGAAACTTAAAATTGTGTTTTCTTTTCTTCTTAAGTCTTTAATTAATTCTTTAAGTTTTCTTGACTGGTCAAAATGTAATATTCAGCTCTTTTTAAACACTCCTCAGATTAACTTTGTCTTCCTGTTCAACATCGTTCGGATCCTGATGACCAAACTGAGGGCGTCGACTACCTCAGAGACCATTCAGTACAGGTACAAGTTGAACACAAGGGAGGTTTTAAGCAGGTGAAAAAACAGGTGAGAATACATGAAAACTGATCTTCATGGCAGGCCAGATGCAATGCAAAGGGTTATAACCAGCATGTTGGCGGTTCTGTGGGAACCAGTAGGTGAACCAAACTCAAGCTTTCTGCAGCTGCACTAAAGTCTTAAGCCCTTTTCAGATATACACTGGAACTCTGAAATAGTGTTGCTTTCGTCAACAAAAATTATGACTAAATATCGTCGTCAACAAACCTTTATCACATGACAAAAACAAGATGAGACACAATGTAAATGCTGGTCATGTGACAATGACTATAATTAAATGTATAATGCAATATTGTTGACGAAAAAAACAAGACTAAATGTGGTTTGCAAAATAAAAACTATGCTAAAATGTCTCTTCATTTTCGTTGACCAAAATGAGACGAAACAAAATGTTATAACATTATTTCGTCTCTTTTAGTTGCGTTATTATTATTATTTTGCAGTATTTCTGTTTCCTGTGTCTCGCTTCAGGGGGATCAGGTTGCACTGCGCAGACGCAGGCGACGTCACTTCCTTAAGCCGCAGTCGTGGCATTATTTGGGGTGGCTGTGGCTCATGAGGTAGGGCAGTCATCTCCTGACCAGCAAGTTGGGGGTTCGACTCCCGGTCTCCCTGCATGCCTAAATGTCCCTGAGCAAGACACTGAACCCCGAATTGCTCCAGTAAACACAGTCCATTTACAATTATTTAGAAGACGACAACAAACAAAGTTAAGTCTGACACAGAGAAAGGGACCGATGGCCGGCCAGCCGGGGCTGGTCTTTGGGAGAAAAAGAAGAAATGACATTTGGAAAAACTTTCATTACATAGAAGTGGAAAAGAAAACGGCATGTGTTGTGGAAAAAGATGGGGAGAAATGTGGCCACAAAATCACACAAAATGTGTATTGGATGTATTCTTGAGTCTATAAGGTAACAATAATAAAATAAGATAACCTTGTTTGAAATGGGTTTGACTAAAAGAAACGTTTGGTTTCATCTATACTACTAGGTACTTATACTCTATAGAGTGGGTTAAATAGAATTGCATTGCTAAAAAGAGAGTAAAATACAGTTTTCATTGACTAAAACTAGACTAAATGTCATCAGTTTTCATCGACTAAAACTAGATGAAAATAGTCATGGATAATTCTGACTAAAATAAGACTAAAAGGCTCAGACTTTTAGTTGACTAAATTTTGACTAGACTAAAAGGAGTATAAACATGACTAAAACTAATAAAAACTAAAATGACAGCTTCACACAAAGACTAGACTAAAACTAAAATTAAAACAGGCCCCCCAAAACAACTGTACTCTGAAATTCTCTAGACTTTACCTGGTTGTGAGCATATAAATGCCTGAGAAAGTCAACCTGGACTTGAAGGGGATTTTACCATGCCAGTTCCCTGGTACAAACTCTGCGAGCCAGAGTGGGCCTATGTAAAAAAAAAAAAAGAGCTATCCATAGTTTGGAGTAAGTTTGGCGTATTCACACAGAGCTAGTGGGCATGTTTTCTGCCGCTTGTTTCCATGATCTCATTTTTTCGGTCATGATCCAAAGTTCATGGCCATAGGTGAGGGTAGGAACATAGATTGACCGGTAAATTGAGAGCTTTGCCTTACAACTCAGCTCCTTCACCACACCGCACCGATCCGTCTATCAACCTGCTGCTTCATTTTCCCCTTACTTGTGAACAAGACCCCGAGATACTTAAACTCCTCCACTTGAGAGAGCAACTCACCCCAACCCGGAGAGGGCAATCCACCTTTTTCTGATTGAGAACTATGGCCTCAGATTTGGAGGTGCTAATTCTCATCCCTGCCACTTCACACTCCGCTGCAAACCCCTCCAGTGCAGGCTGTAGGACTTGAACTGATGAAGCCAACAGAACCACATCATCCACAAAGAGCAGAGACGAGATTCTGTGGCCACCAAAACAGACACCCTCCGTTACCTGGCTGCACCTAGAAATTCTGTCCAAAAAAATAATGAACAGAAGCGGTGACAAAGGGCAGCCTTGGTGAAGTCCACTATGAACCGGAAACAGGTCTGACTTACTGCCAGCAGTACGAACCAAGCTCCTACTCTGGTCATACAGGGAACGGACAACCCGTAACAACAGGCCCCGCACCCCATAATCCCAAAGAACCTCCCACAGGATGCCATGAGGGACATGGTCGAATGCCTTCTCCAGATCCACAAAACAAATGTAGACTGGTTGGGCAAACTCTCATGAATCTTCCAGCACCCTAGTGAGGGTATAGATCTGGGCCAGTGTTCCACGGCTGGGGCAAAAACCGTACTGTTCCTCCTGAATCCGAGGTTCGACTATCGGCTGGATTGTTGTTGTGGAGCAGAGAGAGAAGTGGCCGGTTCAGCTATATAAGAAAATAAAGGAAAGTGAACATTATTACATTGCCTTTCCTCTTTTCCTCCTCCGACCCCTCCCCCACCCCCCGGTGGGTGTCAAACCAGTCTCTTTCGGCGAGAAAGAGACGGTGCTACAGAGGGTGGAAACACACGACCAGGCCACGAAATGGCCTGAAAGAAAGCACTAACTCATTCTTGATGGAAGTAATAGAGGCTGAGTGGGCCATAGCAAATGCCAGTGACAGCGTAGCTGGCGGGTACTGTTGTGGTGGAGGCTGTAGCAATCCATTCATGGAGGACATGGAGCTAATGATTCTAAATGAGTGTAGCATCTTTTCAAGCACACCCGCCCGGCAAGCCAACGGGATATGGCCGCTCACCCCATTGCCCTCCACACATACCAACCCTTTCCTAACACCAGCCAAGCAACACCAGTTGGCGGACAGTGAGTGTATGGCTCTGCCTCAGCCGAATTGTCACTGTCACAAGAGGCCATGCACCTCAAAAGTCCCGTGTGGAGACATGGATAATGAAGCACAGTTTTACTCCGTTAAAAGCCTGCCAAACAAACCAGTGAGTCAAATAGATCACGGACATTGCACTATAAAAAGCACCACTGCGTTATACCACCGCAGCCAGCACCGTTTTCAGCTCCATGTGCACCCCAGCCTGTCGGACTGTGTGAACATTCAGGAATACCGGCCTGTAGGCAGGCAGGATCAATTGTCACTGTAAATCCTTCCTTCCCCCCATGCCATAGGTACTGTGAGGATTATGTGACAAATGGTGACGAGGAGAGGATCCCCATACTGAGGCCCAGTCAGTTTGATGGTTCAGGCCCCAGGAAAGACTTTTTGTATCAGTTCGAGAGTTGTGCAGCAGCTAACCTTTGGACAGAGAAAACAAAGGCTGTTCAGCTCAGGTTTGGCCTGACCGAAGTTGCTGGGGCTGTCATTTATAAGAACCCCCGATCTGCTCAGTGGGACTACCAGTGCATTATACAGGAAATGGAAGCTGCTTAGGGTCAAGTTCAGAACATGCCCAAGCCATTGGCACTGAACTGAGGCAGCGAGTTAGGAGACCAGGTGAAGCGCTCCATGCTTTAAGAGACGATATCTATGAAAAAGTGTCTATTGTGTACGCTGACCGTTCAGAGCTGGAGCAGGAAGCCACCGCTGTGGAAATCTTCATAAACTCCCTGGTGGATGCTGATGTGGTGCAAAAGCTGATGGAGGAGAAGCCCCGCATCCTGGCGAAAGCTTGTGATGTGGCCCACAGGTATGAAGCAACCAGACAGGCGGCCAGGGCAGTTACACAGCTCATGCTGACCGGTTCACCTAGCTCCAAGCAACAGGGAGCCAGAGCTGTCATGGTACGGGGAACTGCCAACCCGATGGCAAGGGAACAGTTAGAGGAAGTGATGGTAAGACCTGCCAACACCGCAGGGGGGGCACAAAGTTCATCCAAGCAGTGGCGACCCAGGAAGGGCCCAGTTAACCAAGTTGGTCAAGAGGACATGATCTGCCACAATTGCTCGGGGGTAGGACACCTACAGAGAGACTGCCCCTCCTCACAACAAGCTAGACAGTTTTCCAGCACCCCGACACCTCCAAATGTGAGTATCCAGTCGCTAGAGCCAGAGACAGTGGTCGCGTACGTAAAGACTCAGCAGGATGAAATGGCTGTCCAGATAATGATACAGGGACGGGATGTCTGGGCACTCCTGGACTCTGGCGCCGGCAGAAATGTGCTACCCCTTCGCCACTATAACTCCATTCCTCTTGAGAGCCGTCCCCCAGCCCAACCATTGGTAGTGCAGACCCTACAGGGCATCACTCCCGGGGGCCTGGCTGTCCTTGGCGAGGTGGTTCTCCCCATTCAGGTTGGAACCAGAGTCACCAGTGTGAACTTCATCATGGCAGCCACCACTGGGAACATGGAGGTGATTTTGGGGCAGCCTTTCCTACAGCAGGCGGGCACCCATCTGGACTATGGCCGCCATGAAATTACCCTCTTCGGCGAGAAGGTAGCCCCTTATAATCCAAACCGTCGCCCTGAGGTGCACCTCGTCCGCGTGACTCACACCGTAGTGTTGGAGTCAGGTTGTGAGTATGTGGTTCCAGGCACTGTCCATTTTCATCGGACTGCTGAAGGAGTCATGATGCTCAGCCCCACCAAAGGTTTCATTGAGAGACACTGCGTCCTGGTGGCCTGGGCTGTGGTGCAACCTGGTCAGACCCGGAGGGTCCCCATCAGAGTTTACAACCCAGGAACTTTGCCGGTCACTTTAAAAGAGGGAACACCGGCAGCAATACTTCGGCCAGCAGAGGTCCTGGGGCCGAAGCAGCTACAGTCCCAGTGGGCTCCGGGTGAGTCAAATCCTAACGACTGTCTCTGTCTCCGTACCCTCCCACTTACAGGGGAGGGAGAAGAGGAGCGGGGCCAGCTCGCACACCTCCTCAGGTCTCATGGTGATGTGTTCTCCACGGGACCCCACGATCTGGGCAGCACGATATTTTGACCACCCCAGGGCCCCCAGTCAGGCAGCAGCCCCGCAGACTGGCTCGAGACAAGCAAATTGCGGCCGACTCACAGGTGCGACAAAGTCTGGATGCTGGTCTGGCTAGACCAACTTCAGCCAGGGTAATGGACAAGTCCCCTCCCAAGTCCCCAGCCCTGGCTTCCTTTACAAAAGGCGTGTTGGAGGGATTGAGGAGATCTTCAAAGTACTCTTTTCACCGGCCGATGACATCTTCAGTTGAGGTCAGCAACACACCACCTCCACTGTAAACAGTGTTGGCAGAACACTGCTTCCCCCTCCTGAGCCGCCGGACATTTCGCCAGAATCTCTTTGAATATGAACATGGCTGATTTAATTCTTGAAGTATTTAGTAGTTTAAAAAAGCTTTGGTAAGCTGGGTGTTCTTTCAGTCTAAATATCTAACAGATCAACAATATCTACATATTAATTTCATTATTTCTGTGAAATAAACATGTTTAATGAGTAATTTGTCCTGAAATTTCAATCTGTACCAAAATGGGTTGTCAGGCATTGTAACTACACATTATTTGGCACAAATGGGGAAAACTTCACAAACAACAACGTACAAAGCTCATACTAATGCCATCATCATCTATTTTAGAAGAGAAGTAGTTCAGACCTGTATGTTGACTGTTAGTGCCACTGGTTCAAAATCACTTGTATTCATTTTAACCTTACAGTGCTAGTATTTAATTTCTAATGAGACCAGGACCGTGAGTGTAATAAAAAATGAACAGTAACATTTTTATTTTGGGTGCGATATTTTTGAGCCTGTGGACAATAATAGGGGCATGTGGGAGTGCATGTAAAAGTTTTACATTCAAATTATTTGAATACGGTCCTGCTGATGAGTCACCTGCTGTGTTTACTGTCTTACTGTGAGATATAATTTGTCTTCTGTAATTAAAATACTGTTGTTTTGCTGTGTGCTGTAATTTTCACTGTGGTTTTTCTTGTTGCAGGAAGGCAGTGAAGGCGACTCTGGTGCTGCTGCCTCTGTTAGGAATCACCTACATGTTATTCTTTGTGAATCCTGGAGGAGAAGACGAGGTTGCTCAGATCGTCTTCATCTACTTCAACTCCATACTCGAGTCCTTCCAGGTTCACCTTGTCATTTTACTGTTCAACTTACTGGGTTATTTCACTGGTTTGGCACTCAGCAGGTCAACATACAACAGACAGACAGACAGACAGATCTGTTGTTTTTATAGCACCATTACATCTACTGTATATCAAAACAAAACAATTTAAATAAATAGGAAATAAACAGTGGTCCTCTCAGTCCCAGTGCTGTTCATGAAGTGAGTTTAGGAGATAAAATATAAAAGTTTTTTATAGAGTTTAATTGCACCTGGCAGGAAAGACCTCCTGTAACGCTGCTTTGTGCACTTTGGCTGAAGCAGCCTGTTGCTGAAGGAGCTGCTGCAGTCTGTTAACACACTGTATGGGGGATGTCAGGTGGTTTCCAGAATCACCTGCAGTTTGTTCAGCATTTTGCCCTCCACCACCTCCCCCAGTGTAGCCAGCTTAGTTCCAATGACAGATTCGACCTTCATAATGACTTGATTCAGTCTGTTGGCATCCTTTGCTGTGATACCTCCACCCACCACACCGCAGCAAAGAAGATGATACTTGGTACAATAAACTGGTGCAACATATGAAGGGTTTAGTTGCAGACATTGAAGGGCCTAAGCATTCTCAGAAAGCATCCGTCTGTCAGTGGACTGATTCTACTTGCTGCTGCAATATCACTTAAAAATTATTGAAGGACTCACTTTCAATAAAACCAGCAGTATAATAACCTGTGACCTTTGTCATAACAGGTGTAAATTAGCATTAGCTTAACTCTATCTTACAGCAAACATGTAAGCAGCATGTTGACCTTTAAGCTTTAGATTCACTGGGCTCAAACAGAACAAAAACAAACACCAAATTCAAGAGAGCTCATCACTGTTCCACTTAAGTGGCCTGTTAGCACTGTTAGCAGCTAAAGCTGTCCCTCTGTCTCTACAGGGATTTTTTGTTTCAGTTTTCTACTGTTTTCTCAACAGTGAGGTAAGTTATTTGTACTGATCAGTCTGTGGTTCCTCAGATACTGGCTCCAGTTTTGTTTCTATTTCTCTGTAACACGTGAACATTTAGGCTACGTACACAGAGAATATTTACCTGTTTCTCTACCTGTCCGTCCATGTGCAGGTGCGCTCTGCAGTCAGGAAGCATTGGATTCGTTGGCAAGACCGTCATTCCATCCGGAGCCGGGTGGTGCGCGCCACATCACTGCCGACCTCACCAAGCAGAGTATCCTTCCACAGCATCAAACAGTCCTCCAACCTCTGACCTCTGTTGGATTTGAACTTATCCGGTCACAGTCTGTGATGTAATTCAGTTCAGCCAGTCAGAGGTCTTATTCTGCACTGGAACCAATGGGTCAGATCAGACCAGCCAATCACAGTGCAGGACACAGATTCATGGAGCCAGTCAGACGGAGCTCTATTAGTCTGCACTCTGCCTGGTCCCGCCTCACTTCATCTGTTGACCAGTCTCTGGGCTTGACCAATCAGCTGCTTCCACAGGGGCAGCTGTGCTGTGTCTGTGTTCTGTAATCAATAAGTTTGTTCATTTATTGATAAGTATGTTATTGATGAGCTGTAACCTTCTATATTGTAATACTGATCACCAGCTTCCTCCTATTTATCAGAGCTAAATACATACACACAGTCAATAGTTATATTAATCTTAGTTTGTTTGTTTTCAGAGAAACAAACCAAATTGTTTCAGCTGCAGCTGAGCTCTGGATCAGTTCAATATTAATTTCAGAAAAGTGGGTGGCACTGTGGCATCCGCTGCCCAGTATCACGCATTTCCTATAGAGCCATGAGAAAACAATAGGATTCTGTAAAAAGCTGAATAATAATCATAAACCTTTTGGGTTGTTTGTGTGGTAGGTACCTCGAAATGTTCCTGAACACTCAAAAAAAGAAAAGACTGGTAAACTAAATGATCACTATCTTAACTAGTCCTGTTTTTACTGCTAGACAAACCAGCTGTGTAAAAACAAAAAACAAACTTTTTATTTTAATGCGAGATGCTGAAGAGATGCTCTTGCATATGTATTATAAAATCCAAATGTTCTGCAGCTTTAGTTCAGCTTTGATATCCATCACAGTCCCAATGAATATCATTGATATCAAAATGGCTAAATTCTGGGGATTATAACAAAGTTGCAGAAGAAAACAAAGCATGCAACACTGTCGCATGTATCCAAATCCCTCAGAGCCGCAGCTGAAGGTGAAGCTCCTGAACACAAGTTCAGCTGAACAACTGCCAGGGGGCGCTCTGACAAACCGAAATATGAACTCTTGTCCTCTGATCAGTTTTTGAGAGAGGAAAAAAACCCTAATTCGGTTTTTATGCCCAAAAGCGCAACACCTGGACATCTGGGGATCTTACAGTGCCTTGCGAAAGTATTCGGCCCCCTTGAACTTTGCGACCTTTTGCCACATTTCAGGCTTCAAACATAAAGATATAAAACTGTAATTTTTTGTGAAGAATCAACAACAAGTGGGACACAATCATGAAGTGGAACGAAATTTATTGGATATGTCAAACTTTTTTAACAAATAAAAAAACTGAAAAATTGGGCATGCAAAATTATTCAGCCCCCTTAAGTTAATACTTTGTAGCGCCACCTTTTGCTGCGATTACAGCTGTAAGTCGCTTGGGGTATGTCTCTATCAGTTTTGCACATCGAGAGACGGAAATTTTTGCCCATTCCTCCTTGCAAAACAGCTCGAGCTCAGTGAGATTGGATGGAGAGCGTTTGTGAACAGCAGTTTTCAGTTCTTTCCACAGATTCTCAATTGGATTCAGGTCTGGACTTTGACTTGGCCATTCTAACACCTGGATATGTTTATTTGTGAACCATTCCATTGTAGATTTTGCTTTATGTTTTGGATCATTGTCTTGTTGGAAGACAAATCTCCGTCCCAGTCTCAGGTCTTTTGCAGACTCCATCAGGTTTCCATCCAGAATGGTCCTGTATTTGGCTCCATCCATCTTCCCATCAATTTTAACCATCTTCCCTGTCCCTGCTGAAGAAAACCAGGCCCAAACCATGATGCTGCCACCACCATGTTTGACAGTGGGGATGGTGTGTTCAAGGTGATGAGCTGTGTTGCTTTTACGCCAAACATAACGTTTTGCATTGTTGCCAAAAAGTTCGATTTTGGTTTCATCTGACCAGAGCACCTTCTTCCACATGTTTGGTGTGTCTCCCAGGTGGCTTGTGGCAAACTTTAAACGACACTTTTTATGGATATCTTTAAGAAATGGCTTTCTTCTTGCCACTCTTCCATAAAGGCCAGATTTGTGCAGTATACGACTGATTGTTGTCCTATGGACAGAGTCTCCCACCTCAGCTGTAGATCTCTGCAGTTCATCCAGAGTGATCATGGGCCTCTTGGCTGCATCTCTGATCAGTCTTCTCCTTGTATGAGCTGAAAGTTTAGAGGGACGGCCAGGTCTTGGTAGATTTGCAGTGGTCTGATACTCCTTCCATTTCAATATTATCACTTGCACAGTGCTCCTTGGGATGTTTAAAGCTTGGGAAATCTTTTTGTATCCAAATCCGGCTTTAAACTTCTCCACAACAGTATCTCGGACCTGCCTGGTGTGTTCCTTGTTCTTCATGATGCTCTCTGCGCTTTAAACAGACCTCTGAGACTATCACAGTGCAGGTGCATTTATACGGAGACTTGATTACACACAGGTGGATTCTATTTATCATCATTAGTCATTTAGGTCAACATTGGATCATTCAGAGATCCTCACTGAACTTCTGGAGAGAGTTTGCTGCACTGAAAGTAAAGGGGCTGAATAATTTTGCACGCCCAATTATTCAGTTTTTTATTTGTTAAAAAAGTTTGAAATATCCAATAAATTTCGTTCCACTTCATGATTGTGTCCCACTTGTTGTTGATTCTTCACAAAAAATTACAGTTTTATATCTTTATGTTTGAAGCCTGAAATGTGGCAAAAGGTCGCAAAGTTCAAGGGGGCCGAATACTTTCGCAAGGCACTGTATTCTAAATGCTGACGATATAACACAAATTCTAGACTCAGAATAACCGAGGGGCTCAACAGCAAAATTGGAGGTAAGACTAAACATATAGAGTATGACTACATCTGGGACTATAACAATACATTTTGGAATTATAACAATTTCAAAGGTTATATCAAAGTGCAGGGAAAATAACCACTGTAAGAAGAAGGTCTTAAACACTTTGGAGATTATTACAAACTCTGTGTGTATACAATACATCTTTGGATTATAACAAATTAAATAACTGTGGAGCTCTGTAAGTAATTCTGGGCTATAATGAATTTTTGCATATTCCCATAGCTCCTCTCTTGGCAAGTGTATGACAAAGTGAGGGGAACAAAGGTGATGAGGAGGTGATGGGCAGGTTTGGTGTTAATGGAAGGAACCTAGAAGGACAGAAAAGAAAGAATGTTGTGAGGAATTCAGACAGAAGTTGAGACAGGCTTTGGGTGGTCAGGAAGAACTTCCAGATGACTGGGAAACTACAGCAGAAGTGATCAGGCAGACAGGTAGGAAGGTGCTAGGTGTGTCATCTGGAAGGAGGAAAGAAGATAAGGAAACATGGTGGTGGAACGAGGAAGTACAGGACAGCATTCAGAGGAAGAGGCTAGCTAAAAAGAAGTGGGACGTAGAAAGGACTGAAGACAGTAGACAGGATTACAAGGAATTGCAGCATTGAGTGAAGAGGGAGGTGGCAATGGCCAAACAGAAAGCATATGATGAGTTGTATGCCAGGTTAGACACGAGGGAAGGTGAGAAGGACTTGTACAGATTAGCGAGACAGAGAGATAGAGATGGGAAGGATGTGCAACAGATAAGGGCGATTAAAGACAGAGATGGAAAGGTACTAACAAGTGAGGAGAGTGTGCAGAGAAGATGGAAGGAGTATTTTGAGGAACTGATGAATGAGGAAAA